ATGTGTATGGCGTAATACCTACCTATGTGTATGGCGTAATACCTACCTATGTGTATAGCATAATACCTACCTAATTGTATGGCGTAATACCTACCTATGTGTATGGCGTAATACCTACCAATGTGTATGGCGTAATACCTACCTATGTGTATAGCGTAATACCTACCTATGTGTATGGCGTAATACCTACCTATGTGTATGGCGTAATACCTACCTATGTGTATGGCGTAATACCTACCTATGTGTATGGCGTAATACCTACCTATGTGTATGGCGTAATACCTACCTATGTGTATGGCGTAATACCTACCTATGTGTATGGCGTAATACCTACCTATGTGTATGGCGTAATACCTACCTATGTGTATGGCGTAATACCTACCTATGTGTATGGCGTAATACCTACCTATGTGTATGGCGTAATACCTACCTATGTGTATGGCGTAATACCTACCTATGTGTATGGCGTAATACCTACCTATGTGTATGGCGTAATACCTACCTATGTGTATGGCGTAATACCTACCTATGTGTATGGCGTAATACCTACCTATGTGTATGGCGTAATACCTACCTATGTGTATGGCGTAATACCTACCTATGTGTATGGCGTAATACCTACCTATGTGTATGGCGTAATACCTACCTATGTGTATGGCGTAATACCTACCTATGTGTATGGCGTAATACCTACCTATGTGTATGGCGTAATACCTACCTATGTGTATGGCGTAATACCTACCTATGTGTATGGCGTAATACCTACCTATGTGTATGGCGTAATACCTACCTATGTGTATGGTGTAATACCTACCTATGTGTATGGCATAATACCTACCTATGTGTATGGCGTAATACCTACCTATGTGTATGGCGTAATACCTACCTATGTGTATGGTGAATGTATGGTCCTCTATATACACACAGGCTGTTAGCTCACGGCCATTTCTGTCTATGATGATATTTTCCTTTCTCATCTCTTTCCATTTGGTATAAACCACCAGGGTCACTGTTGTATCATTCTGGTACCAGTCAAATCTGTACACAAGACAACAACTAGAACAATCTCAACATTTCTTAGTTTTAAGGGTCAAAACTATGAGATACCTCATTGAATGCAGTATTGGTAGACACTATATAATCCTGCAATGGAATCAGACAAAAGAGTAAGAAAATATATTAGAAAATAAAATGAGATCAAAACAATACAGATAAATATGTATAGCCTCCTCCTCCCTGCCCGAAAGATAACCCAGCAAAACACAAATGGTAAAGACTATCTCCAAAGTTCCTTTCCATTAGAAGAACATATACCTTATAAGAATATTATAATATACACATCAACAAATTAGAGTACTAGCACTTCTGTTTTCTTTCTTATCTGTGTAGTGAGTTGAGGGTAACTTACCGTGGGGGGCTGGACCCCGGGGGAGGGGGAGGTCCCATGGGTGGAGGTGGCTGTACAACTGCTGGACCTGGAGGGAAAAAATTACTTAATATACTCCCTAAATAGGACTAAAGGTGTTACCAGGGTGTTAACACAGTAACACTGGTAATTTATGTTAATTGTTAGGGGTGTGACAGGTGGGTAACCTGGTGGTGTGGTAAACCAGGTACTAATTGTTAGGGGTGTGACAGGTGGGTTACCTGGTAGTGTGGTACACCAGGTGTTAATTGTTAGGGCTGTAACAGATGGGTTACCTGGTGGTGTGGTAAACCAGGCGTTACTTGTTAGGGCTGTGACAGGTGGACTACCTGGTGGTGTTATAAACCAGGTGTTAATTGTTAGTGCTGTGACAGGTGCGTTACCTGGTAGTGTGGTACACCAGGTGTTAATTGTTAGGGGTGTGACAGGTGGGTTACCTGGTGGTGTGGTAAACCAGGTACTAATTGTTAGGGGTGTGACAGGTGGGTTATCTGGTTGTGTGGTACACCAGGTGTTAATTGTTAGGGCTGTGATAGGTGGGTTTCCTGCAGGTAGTGTGGTACACCAGGTGTTAATTGTTAGGTCTGTGATAGGTGGGTTACCTGCAGGTAGTGTGGTACACTAGGTGTTAATTGTTTGGGCTGTGATAGGTAGGTTACCTGCAGGTAGTGTGGTACACCAGGTGTTAATTGTAAGGGGTATGACAGGTGGGTTACCTGGTAGTGTGGTACACCAGGTGTTAATTGTTAGGGGTGTGACAGGTGGGTTACCTGGTGGTGTGGTACACCAGGTTTTAATTGTTAGGGCTGTGATAGGTGGGTTACCTTGTAGTGTGATAAACCAGGCGTTAATTGTTAGGGCTGTGAGAGGTGGGTTACCTGATAGTGTGGTACACCAGGTGTTAATTGTTAGGGGTGTGACAGGTGGGTTACCTGGTGGTGTGGTACACCAGGTTTTAATTGTGAGGGCTGTGATAGGTGGGTTACCTTGTAGTGTGATAAACCAGGTGTTAATTGTTAGGGCTGTGAGAGGTGGGTTACCTGATAGTGTGGTACACCAGGTGTTAATTGTTAGGGGTGTGACAGGTGGGTTACCTGGTAGTGTGGTACACCAGGTGTTAATTGTTAGGGCTGTGATAGGTAGGTTACCTGCAGGTAGTGTGGTACACCAGGTGTTACTTGTTAGGGGTTTGACAGGTGGGTTACCTGGTAGTGTGGTACACCAGGTATTAATTGTTAGGGCTGTGACAGGTGGGTTACCTGGTGGTGTGGTAAACCAGGCGTTAATTGTTAGGGCTGTGATAGGTGGGTTACCTGCAGGTAGTGTGGTACACCAGGGGTTAATTGTTAGGGCTGTGATAGGTAGGTTACCTGCAGGTAGTGTGGTACACCAGGTGTTACTTGTTAGGTTTGTGACAGGTGGGTTACCTGGTAGTGTGGTACACCAGGTATTAATTGTTAGGGCTGTGACAGGTGGGTTACCTGGGAGTGTGGTACACCAGGTATTAATTGTTAGGGCTGTGACAGGTGGGTTACCTTGTAGTGTGATAAACCAGGTGTTAATTGTTAGGGGTGTGACAGGTGGGGTACCTGGTGGTGTGGTAAACCAGGTGTTAATGTTTAGGGCTGTGACAGGTGGGTTACCTGGTAGTGTGATAAACCAGGTGTTAATTGTTAGTGCTGTGACAGGTAGGTTACCTGGTGGTTTGGTAAACCAGGTGTTAATTGTTAGGGCTGTGTAAGGTGGGTTACCTGGTAGTGTGGTACATCAGGTGTTAATTGTTAGGGGTGTGACAGGGGGGTTACCTGGCGGTGTGGTAAACCAGGCCTTATTGTTAGGGCTGTGACAGGGAGGTTACCTTGTAGTGTGATAAACCAGGTGTTAATTGTTAGGGGTGTGACAGGTAGGTTACCTTGTGGTGTGGTAAACCAGGTGTTAACTTTTAGGGCTGTTACAGGTGGGTTACCTGGTAGTGTGGTACACCAGGGATTAATTGTTAGGGCTGTGACAGGTGGGTTACCTGGGAGTGTGGTACACCAGGTATTAATTGTTAGGGCTGTGACAGGTGGGTTACCTGGTGGGGTGGTACACCAGGTTTTAATTGTTAGGGCTGTGACAGGTAGGTTACCTGGTGGTTTGGTAAACCAGGTGTTAATTGTTAGGGCTGTGTAAGGTGGGTTACCTGGTAGTGTGGTACATCAGGTGTTAATTGTTAGGGGTGTGACAGGTGGGTTACCTGGTGGGGTGGTACACCAGGTTTTAATTGTTAGGGCTGTGACAGGTAGGTTACCTGGTGGTTTGGTAAACCAGGTGTTAATTGTTAGGGCTGTGACAGGGGGGTTACCTGGTAGTGTGGTAAACCAGGTGTTAATTGTTAGGGGTGTGACAGGTAGGTTACCTTGTGGTGTGGTAAACCAGGTGTTAACTTTTAGGGCTGTTACAGGTGGGTTACCTGGTAGTGTGGTACACCAGGTATTAATTGTTAGGGCTGTGACAGGTGGGTTACCTGGGAGTGTGGTACACCAGGTATTAATTGTTAGGGCTGTGACAGGTGGGTTACCTTGTAGTGTGATAAACCAGGTGTTAATTGTTAGGGCTGTGACAGGTGGGTTACCTGGTAGTGTGGTACACCAGGTGTTAATTGTTAGGGCTGTGATAGGTGGGTTACCTTGTAGCGTGATAAACCAGGTGTTAATTGTTAGGGGTGTGACAGGTGGGTTACCTGGCGGTGTGGTAAACCAGGCCTTATTGTTAGGGCTGTGACAGGTAGGTTACCTTGTAGTGTGATAAACCAGGTGTTAATTGTTAGGGCTGTGACAGGTGGGTTACCTGGTAGCGTGGTAAACCAGGTGTTGATTCCTGTACATAGATAAAACTATGTAAAACAGATCTAATCGCATGTGTCAAATTAGTTAACTAGGGGTGTGCTTAATACATGATGTCATGTGTCAAATAAGTTAACTAGGGGTGTGCTTAATACATGATGTCATATGTCAAACAAGAGGCCCAATGGGCCTGCATCGCTCACCTGGTATAAATCTCACACTTGTAACCTTAAAAGTGATCTAAAATAAAGCTACAGGCAAAACATCAGTATTTATGATTAAAATTCATTCAAAAGACCCAGTTAATTTTTTTTTTAAACATTTCATCCCTGTGATTGAAAGTCAAACAAATTTTATAACATATTTGACCCCTGTGACCTTGAATATGGGTGAAGGTCATTCATTTGAACAAACTTTGTAGCACTTCATCTCAGCATGCTACTGGCCAAATATCATCACCCTGGGCATTTTGGTTATTCAGAAGAAGTTGTTTAAAGTTTTTAACGTATTTGACCCCTGTGACCTTGAATATGGGTAAAGGTCATTCATTTGAACAAACTTTGTAGCCAATCATCTCAGCATGCTACTGGCCAAATGTCATCACCCTGGGCTTTTGGTTATTCAGAAGAAATTGTTTCAAGGTTTTTTAAGACAATTGACCCCTGTGACCTTGAATATAACTGAAGGTAATTCATTTGAACAAACTTGGTAGCCCTTCCCCTAAGCATGCTACTGGCCAAATATCATCTACTTGGGCAGTTTGGTTATCGAGAAGAAGATGTTTAAAGTTTTTAACATATTTGACCCCTGTGACCTTGAAAATGGGTGAAGGTCATTAATTTTAACAAACTTTGTAGCCCTTCATCCCAGTTTGCTTCTGGCCAAATATCGACACCCTAGGCCTTTCGGTTATTAAGAAGAAGTCGTTTAAAGTAAAATATTGACGCCGGACGCTGGACGCCGGAGGCTGGACGGACGGACGACGGACGCCTCGCCACGGCATAAGCTCATTTGGCACTTTGTGCCAGGTGAGCTAATAAGTTTATCAGGGGTGTGCTTAATACATGATGTCATATGTCAAATTAGTTAACTAAGGGTGTGCTTAATACATGATGTCATATGTCAAATAAGTTTATCAGGGATGTGATTAATACAAGATCTCATATGTCAAATAAGTTTATCAGGGATGTGCTTAATACAAGATGTCATATGTCAAATAAGTTTATCAGGGATGTGTTTAATACATGTGTCAAACTAGATAACCAGGTGTGTGCTTAATACATCTGTCAAACTAGATAACCAGGTGTGTGCTTAATACATGTGTCAAACTAGATAACCAGGTGTGTGCCTCATACCGGTGTCAAACTATAAAACCAGGTGTGTATTTAATACATGTGTCAAACTAGATATCCAGGTGTGTATTCAATACCGGTGTCAAACTATAAAACCAGGTGTGTATTTAATACATCTGTCAAACTAGATAACCAGGTATGTATTTAATTCAAGTGTCAAACTAGATATCCAGGTGTGTATTCAATACATGTGTCAAATTAAACTATCAAACCAGGTGTGTATTTAATACAAGTGTCAAACTAGATAACCAGG